CTGGACTCTCAGAGGCCAGCCAGTCGGCGTGGGGGGCCCAGGAGGTGCCCTTTGCTCAGGGTGACATCAGACCCAGGTGACTCACCCGCCTTAATCCTCCTGGTGCCAGGGCAGCTCACAAGCCCTTTGTGGGATTGAGGTCAGAGCCAGAGGCACCAGCGCTGTGCCTCCGAGGGCAGTGAGCGAGGGCGGGGGCGGAGCCTGGGCTCTGTGCAGGCATCACCCACCACCCACTCCCCGGAGCCTCAGTTTCCCTCTCTGTGAATTGGGGTGAGTGATTCCCGGCGAGCACTTAGATCAGGCCTGGCCCTCAGGGGCATCATCAGTCTATGGGTCTCAGGCCGGAAGCCGGTGCCTGGGCATGAGGAGCCCTGATGTTTGCTTATTCAATGGAAAGGACTCTAAAGGTTTCAGTGCATCCGGGCGTGAGTGAACCAGCAGGGGGGCAGAGAAGGCCCTTCTCCGCAGAGTCCCTGCCTCCAGCAGGGCACACCTGGGGAAGAGCAAGTCACTCCTTCATCCAGCCATTCAGCAAGCGTTTACTGAGCACCTGCTATGTGGCCGACACAGCACATGGGGGTACAACAGGGAGCAAGACCCAGCAGACCTCTGCCCTCGGGGAGCGCACACCCGGTGGGGGAGACAGGCCGTTCATAAAGAAACAAGCCGGCAGGCAGGCCATTGCGGGGTGAATGCGGGGAAGCACATCAGCAGGGGGCCGAGGTCAGAGGCTGCTCTGAGTGGACCAGCCGAGACGCCTCCCTGACGGGAGAGCTGGTGAAAGACCCTGAGACAGGAAAGGACTTCGGTGACAGGAACCAAAAGACTGGCCAGGACTGTCGGAGCAGAGGAGGGAAGAGAGGGGGCCAGGCGGCAGGCAGCACCCCCCCCCCCAGGAGTGAGCAGGGCTCTAGAGAACATGGGGAGCCGGGGGTTGGGGCCCTGGTGGCTGGGCTGCGAGTCCTTGATTCTCAAAAGGAGACTCAGTGGGCAGAGGGAGGGAGTCAGGATCTTCTGACAAATCTGGGGGGGCGGGGGGAGAGGAGAGAGGTGCCCAGCAGGTCTCAGGTCTTCTCACGGAGACGCCGAAGGGGTGACCCAGACTGTCAGCCACGGGCACTTTCCGCAGCAGCACCTGCTTCCCTGGGGAAACCCACTGTGTCTCTCCCTCCCTGCGTTCAGGTTCCCCAACCTCTTCCCCCCGCTGAAGCCGGAGACGGTGGCCCGGAGGACGGTGGAGGCCGTGCAGCTCAACCAGGCGCTCCTCCTGCTCCCCTGGACGATGCACGTCCTCATTATCTTGAAAAGGTACGAGGCTGGGGAGCAGGCACTGGGCCAGGCTCCTGCCAACCGCCCATGGGCCCCGTGGGGAAGAGGCCGCAGGCAGGAGAAAGTAACACGGGATCCGTTAGTCATGTTTGCTGTGGGCGTGGGGACGAGGAGTGGGGGCTTGTGTGCCAAGGGTGTCCTGTCCTGAATTTGGGGCCGCGGTTCTCAAACTTGCTGGTCGCAGGATCCCTGTACAAACTTAAAAATTATTTCTTTTAAATATATTCTTATTGATTTCAGGGAAGAAGGGAGAGGAAGAGATAGAAACATCAATGATGAAAGGGAATCATTGACTGGCTGCCTCCTGCACATTGGACGGAGCCCGCAACCCAGGCATGTGCCCTTGACGGGAATCGAACCTGGGACCTTTCGGTCCGCAAACCGACGCTCTATCCATTGAGCCAAACCAGCCAGGGCTACAACCTTAACAATTATTGAGGTGCCCAAAGAGGTTCAGCTTATGTGAGCTGTATTATTACTGCTTACTGTCTTAGAAATGAAAACTGAGGCCCTGGCCGGTGTGGCTCAGTGGATAGAGCGTCGGCCTGCGGACTCAAGGGGCCCAGGTTCAGTTCCCGTCAGGGGCATGTACCTTGGTTGCGGGCACATCCCCAGTGGGGAGTGTGCAGGAGGCGGCTGATCGATGTTTCTCTCTCATCGATGTTTCTAACTCTCTATCCCTCTCCCTTCCTCTCTGTGGAAAATCAATAAAATATATTTAAAAAAAAAGAAAAAAAAAAGAAATTAAAACTGGGAAAACATTTTACAAGATTTATACACTTGTTTATATTCACAATATTCATTCAATCAATTCCGTGTTAACATCAATGATTTCTTATGAAAAGTAAGTAAATTTTCAAAAGAGGAAAAAGAATGCAGTGAGGAGAGTGGCATTGTTTTCCTTTCTTGCGAAGCTCTTTAGCATCTAACGCAGTGGTTCTCAACCTTCTGGCCCTTTAAATACAGTTCCTCATGTTGTGACCCAACCATACAATTTTCGTTGCTACTTCATAACTGTAATGTTGCTACTGTTATGAGTCGTAATGTAAATATCTGATATGGAGATTGGTCTTAGGCGACCCCTGTGAAAGGGTCGTTCGACCGCCAAAGGGGTCGCGACCCACAGGTTGAGAACCGCTGGACCCTAACGTAATTGAAGACAACCGGATTCTTCTATCTGCTTCTGATTTTAATCTGTTGTGAGAGGATGCGTGAAAAGGCAAATAACATCTTAGTCTGATTATACAAGTAGCTTGACCTTGCAGACCACCAAAGAGACCTCAGGTACCCCCAAGGGTTCCCGGGCCACAGTTTGAGAACCACTGTTCTAGAGCCTACTCGTTGGCCACAGCCTTCAGGGAGTTTAATCTGGTGGGGAAGACAGAGCTTAGGATGCTGCAGGGTCCACAGAAATGTCACGGAGCTAGTCAGGTGCATTTCCCGGGGCAGACCACCCGGGAGGTGGGCTGAGGAGAGGAGATGGGCTGCCTCCAGGATCCGCCCAGCATCCTAGTCCCTAGAACATTCCAGACCTTGGGCAGCAAACCCTTCCCGCGGAGTCCCAAACCGCAGGGGCCATTCCCTGCCGCCGACGCAGGTTTCATGGCCATGGACTCCCGGCTCCTCTGGGCACCCCGCCACGTCCAGCCCCCAGGCCCTGGCTGGCTGCACCCTCTGCCCCAGAGTCTCTTATGGGAAGTGAAGCACCCAAGTCCCTTTATCAGACACCAGTTCCCAGGAAACGGCTTCCCTCTGGCTCTGTGTCCCGTGGCTCCAGCTGCAGGCACAGACACCTCACAGCGGAGGGGCGCCCACCAGCCCTTCCTCCTCACACTCGGAGCCACGGAGCAGGGTCGGGGCTGGGGGCACCTGCGGGCATTGGGGCCACACCGCGGCCCCCTCAGGCCATGCTGCCTGTTGCTCTGAGATGCTCCTCGGTGGCCTCCGTGAGCCCTGAGGAGAGCAGGCTGCCTCCTTCCACCCCAGGAGCTTGTCAGCAGCCTTGCAGACACTCTAGGAAAAGGCTAGAACGTGTCAGTGCTCTCACAGTAAGCCCCCAGCCTGCGTGTTCTGTTCTGTCCCCTGCTACTTTCCCACAGGAAGCAGAGGCCCCCCTCCTCCCCATGCCCCGCACTACACCCCGTCTTCACCTTCCCCAAGAGAAATCTTTACAGGCTCCACGCCATTGACACCGCCCCCAGGAAGCCTTCCAGATTGCTCTCTCCAGAAGGGGGCCTTTCCCATGTTGCACCAAAGTGGGCGAGGGCCCTTCAGTTTGATTCAACAAATGGACTGAGGCCTTCTCATGCGGGCCCTGTGCTCGGGGCCAGACGCAGAGGTGAACTATCTGGGCCTGGCAAGTAGACAGTCAGGACCACAGCAGGGCTCGTTGGGGAAGCAGTGCACTCTGGGAGCCCACGGAGAGCCTGGGCGTGAGTGTGGGGAGTTTCCCTGGAGGAGGTGACAGCTAGCACATAAGCCCTCGGCCCCACATAGTAAATATTTGTTGACTAAGTGGCATTTGGAGTTACTTGAACTCTGAGATACCTATGGGCCCTAAAATGCAAAGAATGTGGCTTCGAAAGTTTATTTCCACCACCCAGCCTTTGCCTTGTAAGCAGCGGTTTATCCACTTACTTGAAAGCCCTTCCTCCATGGTGGGTGGGTGGGGGGTGGCTTGTGGGCTTGCGAGAGGGGGTGGGGAGAGTTTAGGGGCATCACTCTATTGCGCCATCTTGTGTGGCCACAAGCGACCCAGCTGCTGGCCCCCCACCCGCTGACCATCTTGTCTTCTCTCTCCTCGCTGCCCCCAGCATACTCCCACAGGCTGCGCTGGAGGAGATCCACAGATTCTCAGGAACCTACACCTGCATGAACACTTTCAAAGGGCGGACATAAAGGCAGGACGTAGACCTCCTCGAAAGCCACGGGGCCTGCGGGGGCCGTGGCACCTGGGCACACACCCGCGTGCCTGCCCCTGGGCACACTTCTGCTGGGTGGGCAGGCCTGTCCTCTCCTGGGGAAGAATCCGGTGCCCCCCGCCAGCCCCAGGACCTTTGCACAGGACTGATGGGCGTAACTCTGGCCCCCAGGGGGAGGCAGGAAACCAGCCAGCAGCCGCCTTGACACTTTTGTACATTTCTGATTCTGTAGAGTTTATTGTTAAATTGCTTCTCAAAGCTAACCAGCCTCGGCAGTGCGCAAAGACTATTTCTGGGAGGGTCGGCGCCCAGATGACCCTCCTTCCCCTCCAAAATCCACTCGGCTTCTGCAAACTGGTTGAACGGCAGGAATGAAAAATAAAGAGAGATGGCTTTTGCGAGTTGCTTTGTTGAAATCCTTGGCCCTGGTCCTTGGTGGCAGCGGGGAAGAGACCCATCCCAACCACAACACCCCATCCTTTGAGGAGAACTGGTCTGTGTGGGGTCCCCAGCGGACAGGAGTGAGATGGGCGAGGAGGGGGCGGAGATCAGGAGGGAAATTGGAGCCTGGGCCTGGGCATGCAGGGTCCTCGCTGACTCTGCCAGGCCCCTCCCAACGCCATGGGTTAGGGGGCACTTTGCTTCCCCACCCGCTTCCCTGAATGGCTGTGAACTAGGCTGCAGAGCAGCCCTCTGCGCAGCCACAGCCCCACCCGCCACGAAACCACCAACTCAGGAGAGCAGATCAGTCTCCATTGAGCACCGGTGTCTACTGAGCACGGGCTGGGCACCAAGAGGGGACTATTGCTGAGAAGCCAAAACCCTGAAGACACCAGCACCACCAGGCCCGCGCTAAGGGGTGCCCTGGGTCCCGCGCCACGTTGGCTGCAGGGGGTAGAAGGGAACTAACACAGGAGGGGGGTCTGCACCGCAGAGGAGATGGGCACGGCTCCATCAACGGGAAAATGACAGCCAGGAGGAGTGGGCAGAGGTGCCCGGGGTCCCCAGGTGTGTGTGCTCCGCTCCTGCAGCAGCACAAACCTGACCTTGGGCACAGGACTGGTGGGCCCTGGCGTCCACACAGCTCCTGCGGGGAAAAGGGGCCGGGGAGAGGGGAGGGGGCAGGCAGTGAGGAGAAGGTCACGGGCCACAAATTCAATGGAGGGGCTTCCCCGAGGGCTGCTGAAAGCCAGCCGTGCGCACTCACAGCCGAGGAAGGCGGCCCCGCAGCCTGGGTGGTGGGGGTCTGGTCTGTGTGCAGAAACGCCAAGTCCTGATGTCTCCCACCGTTTCCCGAGCACCTGCCGAGTCCCGAGGCCTAGCATCTCACCGAGGGTTACCCACTGCCCCCAGCAGCAGCCGAAGACCGGAAACAGCCCCCCGGAGCCCCTGACGGACTGCCAGCAGCCACGGGTGTTACCAGCCAGGACCTGACCCCCAGGTCTCAGGCCACCTGCCCGCCCGTGGAGGGTGGCTGCTGCTCTGTTCTGCGCCGTCATCATTCGGGGACCCCAGCCGACCAAGGAGCCTTCGTGGGCGTGGACGACGTCCTCTCGTGACGGAGGGAGACTCACCCAGCCGCCCGCACACGGCTCTGACACTCTGCCTGGAAGCAATGCACGGCACTGCTGCTCACATTTCATTGGCCAGAGCCGGTCATGTGATCAAGCCCCCCCACGGAGGCAGCTGGGTATACCATCTCCATGGAGGCGGGTGGCAGGACTTCTAAATACATTACCCTCTGCACACAGCGGGAGAAGGCGCCCGTGAGGACGGAAAAACCCAACTGTAGGCAGTGGATGCAGGAGGCAGACAACACTGAGCTGGGACGACATGGTGACCTCTCGGTGGCCCACCAGGTGCTGGGCAGAGGCCCAAAGAGGCACTGACCATTTTGCAGGTGAGGAAACAGGCTCAAAGCAGAGAAATGGTGGGCCCAGGGGTGTGCGGCTGGTGCGTGCCCACGTCAGAATGTGAACCCAACTCTATCTAGCCCACAAGCCGCCTCTCCTCCTGCATCACCTTCATGGAGGTCCTTGAGGCCGTGTGTCGCCAGAGTGTGGGGCAGGGAGAATGTTGCCGAAGGGGTCCTCCCGGCACCCTTGCCGGCCTGGCGAGGTCGAGCCTGGGGTGTCCACTCATCACCCATCCTTGGTGTCTGGACCACACCGTGGGCGCCTGGGCTCAGCCTGCCCGCTGCTGTCCCCACCACAGCCTGGGGCCTGTCGCTGGTTCTCACAGGGAGCCAGGCTGGGCAGACCGGTCTCGGTGAGGTGAGATGGAAGAGCAGGAAGAAGTGGGGATCCTGCCGGCTGTGCCCCAACTTTTCTGACTGTTTTTGAGTGGCAGGCGGGCTCTGTGCTCCCAGCCTGGCTCCGGGCCAGCCTTCGGGGAGGTTCTGACTCTTAGGGTTCCATGAGGTCGCACTTGGCCTGCAGGCCGGGAATGTGAGGACCCCGGGAGTCTAGAGGACGCCAGCCCCACCCGCCCCGCTCCGGGCCCAGTGAGAGCGGAATCGGGGTCGTGGCTGCAGTGGGACCTCGTGGCTTCCCAGGGCCCCAGGGGCTTCTGCCTGCCGGGCCAGCCTGGTCCCACCCGCCTCCCTCCCTCTCTGCTTGGACACTTTCAGTCTTTTTCTGGATCTTTTCCCAGCGGAACCAGGGAAAAAGTCTTGGGCAGGTTCCCAGGAGGCCCATCCTGGTCCCTCCCCGAGATGGCCTGGCAGCTTGGAGCCTTGGAGGGTGAGAGTGGAGAGCTAATTCCGTCCCCAGGCCCAGCCAAGCGCCGAGAGTGACAAGCACTCCGCCTCCCCGAACCCCGAGGGGCAGGACAGGGTGTGCCAACCCTGGGAAGAAGGCTCGGGCCCTGGGAAATGACCCAGTTGCCATGCCCGGGGCCTCCCCATCGCCAATGAGAACCAGATTGGAGGTGGGCCCCAAGCCGGAGGCGCCGGCCCCAAGCCCCATCCTGACCTGGGTCCAGGAGGCCGGACTATCTGGCCTGAGCAGGTTCCGGATGGAGTCCCGTGGCCACCGGCCCGCCCAGGGCCAGAGGCTCTGAGAAGTGGACTCCCTTCTCCTCAGACCACACTGATGGCCAGAGGGGCCAGAGTGACAGAACGCTGCGGGGCTGACCACAGTGCCCTGACCACAATGCCCTGCCCCCAGCCCTTCTGACAGCCACGCCCCCGGGGACGTCCCAGTCTGAGGGGACAAAAGGAGGAAGCCGGTCACTAACAAACCAGCCCGTGGCCCAGTGCTGAGCAGCGGGCGGGCAGGAAACACTCACAGGGGGTGGATGGGGCGGGGGTCATGTCAGGGCCCGTGGGGCTCTCCCGCCCACCACAGCACCCCCGGGACTTCTCCGGCTTGGGGTCTGCGCGGATGTTCAGGGCAGGGATCAGAGTAAGAGCCCAGAGGGCTGCTGGGGGGAGGCTGTCTACACACAGATGCCTCTCGCTCCAGGCAAAGCCAGGTGACCCGCCCATCCACCCACCTACAGTTGTCCAGGTTGGAGTGGGAGGAAGCTGTGGGGGGGCGGGGCTGAGGAGGGCAAAGGAAAGGGCCCGAAAGGGGTGGGGGGTGGAGAATGGGGACGCTGTCCTCCCGCACACTGCGCAGGCTCCGGCGTTGTTCTGGCACCCCTGCCACTGCTGGCTCCGGGCAGGCCCTTTGCGCCCAAGTCTCTCTGTGGCTCGGGGTGAAAATAAACACAGAAGTCCCCAAGCAGTCACTGCTGGGAGCGGCAGAATGACCACTGCCCTGCTGGGCAGCTGCTCTGGTCCAGGGATCTCTCAGGTGCATGGCCAGTCTCAGGCAGGGCCCCCAGAGAGCCCCCCAAACCAGCAGGCAGGGAGGGCCCAGCAGGGCCGGCGGGCCTGCCCCGATGCTGGCCACGTGCACAGCTGTGCAACCAGGGTCATGACCTCTCTGGAGTGAAGCAGCTGTGGGAATATTTCCGCAGGGCCCTGAAGCCTGGATGCCCCTGGCCGGTGCTCACATGGCTGAGAGCCCACACCGCCCATCCCCGCCTGCCAGGCATCTCACCTGAGGTCCCAAGCTCAGCCTGTCCCCTCCCCACCTGCCTGGCGTCTCACCTGAGGCCAAGGCCCAGCCTTCCATCTCCCTGGGCTCATCTTTGCCACTGGGACCATTTTCGCACAGAACAGCGTCATTGAGCTGCAATCCACACAGCGCCCGAGCTGCCCATTCAGAGTGTGCAGCGCAATGTGCTTCGTACATTCCCGGCTGGACAGCTGTCCCCACAGACACCTCTGGGAGCACACACAGGGGGCGGGTCTTTGGTGTCTGGCTCCGTTCTCGAAGATAATGTCGTCAGGGTTCATCCTGCAGGCACCAGAGCCTCTTCCTGTTCAGGGCCAGACGGCTCCCAGTGCGCGTCGGTCCCAGTGCGTTCGCCCAGGCCTCCTTCCTGAGGGACATTTGGGCCATCAGTCCTTCCTGTGCTTGTCCCACACGACACACTCCGTGCGCACAGGGCAGGTCCGCAGTGCTCGGCACCCGGGTCGCGCAGGGCACGGCGGCACCGGGCAAGTATTTGCTGTCGGGATGAAGAGGGACAGAACCTTTGTCAGCTGTGTCATCGGCAGCGACATCGGCGTGTGGCCCTCTCCCCGCCACCTTCCCTTCCATGTGCTTGCTGAAGGGCCCTGCATACAAAGCCGGCTTCTAGGACTACATGTGTTTCCCGCGGTGGCACTGTGGACATTTCGGTCGGGATGACTCTGTGGGGGCCGTCCTGTGCCCTGAGGATGTTTGGTGGCATCCCCGGTCTCTGCTCATTGGATGCCTTTCCCTCCTAGTTGTGACAACAAAAATGGTCCCAAAAATGTCCCCCAAGGAGCTAACTGGCCCCTGGTGGACAGCCCCTGGCCCGCACACAGGCTCTCATTCTTTCCCATCACAACCGCCCCAGTAGGACTTGGCCTTGAACAGCAGAGGAGTCTGAGGACCAACGAGAGGGTTCGTGGCCTGGCCACAGGGAGGGGACATGCCGGTTCTGCCCCCAAGGGGTCCCTAAACCCCAAGCCGGGGCCAGAGATCAGGAGGCCCCCGACGACCCGCCCCGGGCCTGCCAGGTCACCTCCAAACTCCCTCACGCCGCCCTCTTGGTGAGTTCAGCCAGCACTGCAGTTTTCTGGCCTCCCCACCCCACCCCACCCCCTGCCCCCGAATCCTTATCATTCCTTTCATTTTTCAATGTTCACGGGACAAAGGAAATAAGCACTTGGAGGCAGACACAAGCTGTGTTCGTTCCTTAGCTGCCGCTGAGACGTAACTGGATCCGGCTTGGGGAGGTCACGCTGGGACCGCGAGCAGAGCCTGGCTGTGGGCATGTTAACGGCCACAGCCCTGGCGTGCGGAGAGGGGAATGAGGCAACTGT